TATAGGTTCAAAGGCGCTTACAATCAGTGGCTTTGGTTTCTAAACCTTGTCTTATTATATTCCTAATTAAATATTTTGAGTGGAAAACTTTATTCAAGCCCCCTACCACCACTTAAATTCACTATCTTGGTAACAGAATGCAAAACACTTGGACAAGGAAACAATTTTTTTTTTTTAATATTTGATATTTTACCCTTTCGTTTCATGATTAGTGCTTAATTTTCTATCTAACGTCTCAATCAGTCACTATTCCTTCCTATCACACAAAAATAAAGATAGGTTGCCAGGCAACGAAACATACGCCCACAGCAGCTAAATCGTCCGGGGAGTCAACACGAGTCGTCGCATATTCTTACTTTTTTCGATAATGAAACATTTATAATACACTAAAATCTGATTAAGAGCAACAACTCATGAAGTAATTATCAGAAAACCATTAGAATTTGTTTGGTTTTTATAAAGTTCTGCCCCATGCTTACCTTTTGTATACAAAACTTTTAATATCATGGATTTGTTCAAGTCATAAAAATTCATTGAAAATCAATATACTTGTTTGTCTCAAGATCTTAAACTCTGTGTATCAATCTGAAGTCAATCGGATGATAACTTTAGCCTTTAGAGCGGAAATCGTTGAAAATCAAGGGCCATAACTCTAGCAGTAATTATTGGAAATCGCCGAAAACCAATAGGCTTCTTCGTCTCATGACCTTAAACACTGTGTATAAATTTAAAGTCAATCGAATATTAACTTTGGCCTCTAGAGCGTCCACAAGATTTTTCAAAGTGATCAAGGGCCATAACTCTGGCAGTAATTATTGGAAATCGCTGAAAATCAATAGGCTTCTTCGTCTCATGACCTTAAACACTGTGTATAAATTTAAGGTCAATCGGATATTAACTTTGGCCTCTAGAGCATCCACAAGCGATTGTGGACGCCGGAACGACGGATTGACGGACGGACGGACGGGGGCGACGACAATATACGACCACATTTCAATGTGGGCGTATAAAAACCCTACCAACAACGGTTTATGGTTCATACTATTTCAGTCTGATCACTGAATATATATATTATCACAAATTCTGTAAACTGATTCACACTCAATTAATAGTTCCTAGAAAGGCAATTTTTGATTTTTGTCACAGTATTAGAATGGCGATTTAGTAAGTATATAATATATATATAAGTTTATTGAACAAGATAAGGATTTAAAAAAGACATTACCATTGTCAACTCTGATTCAATTGATACAGTATATACAGTTAGATTCACTGTAATGTGTCAAGACTGATAATAAACATTAAAACGCCTATATCTTGGCAATTGATTAGTAGATCTATATCAAATTTGGTGTGCAATCAAATATATATACACCCAACATCAACATATAGACAAATCACAGCATATAAAAATTATTAGTGATGGTACACTTTAGATGTGGTCTAATTTGAACAAACAAGTGACAATAATAATTAATGGTGGGTGTAAAATACAAACTTCAAAACCCAAATTAGTCTTGATCATATAGTGATTGTATCCATACTAAAGTATTCTAGTATTATATAACAACTTTCTTTAACATAAAACAATCATGTATACAGATTATGATAAAAGTGACGTGAATCAACAAATCATGTCAATTTCCAAATATATCAGTCTTGCTGCATATCAAATATAGTATGAGCCTTGATGGATATCAAATATATCCACCTTGCTGGATATCAAAATATATCCACCGTGCTGGATATCAATTTACCTGGCTGGATATCAAATATATCTAACTTGGCAGATGTAAAAAGATATCAACCTTGCTAGATTATGTAGATCTCACACAAGGTTTGGTATTATGCCCACTAAAGCTAAAATTCCACTTTGCTTGATATTCCTGACCAGTCAAGTTCTAGGGATGATCTTCATGCCACTTCACGACCAGTAGGGCAGGCAAAAGACAATGTTCATTAACCAATTAAATAAATATCAATCGATATGCAGAATGATGCACTTTGAGTAGATACTGTGCTATTGAGCAAGTTTACATAATAATAAATATATACATTATACATGTGTTTTAAAATATTAATAAATATTGATTATGGTATATGTATTGTTACTATTCACAGGCATGACATTAAATCTGACTAATTTCTCCCGATAATAGTGAATCAAGGGCAGTAAGTACATGTAGATACTAAAAATTAACGAAAGCAAAAGGAAAACACAAGTTATCCTTCTATATAACTTAAAGAAGTGACGAGTGATAACAGATACTCATTTCTCCCCACTAATAGTAGTTCCTTCGAAGACCAAAAGTTGTGATATGAGACTGTGGGAGGATATCTGACAATTCAAAAAAATAATAGACTGTCACTAGATAAGAGAAAACCAGAAAATAGAAATAGTCCATACATTTGCTTGTTTTTATTCATTCTATTTTTTTCATTTTCTCTTATCTAGTGACAGTCAATTATTTGTTTGAATTGTAAGATATCCTCCCACAGTCTCATATAACAACTTTTGGTCTTCGAAGGATTTATTAGTGAGCAGAAAATCGCCCGAGTATCTGTTATCACTCGTCACTTTTTTTAAGTTATATAGAAGGATAACTTGTGTTTTCCTTTTGCATTCGTCACTTACGCATCTATTGTAACAATGATCTCTGTGTTAAAATAATATTTGGTACACATATATGACTGACACCAATATTGTCTTTTAAAAATGAGAATTTCAAATTGTCAAAAAATCAATTTTAACTTTACTCTTTGATGTGATGGCCTCCTGAAATGGTTGCCTGGGCCCAAGGCCATATTTTTTCTTGTCACTAGTTTTTGAGACATAAATTTGCACATTTGAACACAAAGATCTAGTACCACTATCTCCTCACATTAATAAAAAAATCTTGACACATACACTCATTAAATTTTATTTTAACTATCTTATTATAATAACCCTATTGATAAGCCATTGAAAAACCAACAGTGGGAAAATTCAATGCCATTTGAGTAAAAAAAAAAAACAATATAAGAAACATCTGTCATTGCCTAACTTCAGTTCAAGGTGCCGCCAAACTTTTAAAGTACTGTAAATAAATACATGGAATGAAAAGCTTGTATAACACATGCCATATCAACAATTATAAACTGGTCCAGTCGAATTTCAATATAAAATTAATAATTTAGCATTTTATTCTGTTTCATTTTTGATTGTGAAACCAAGACCATAATCAACTCTCGATGCCATCTTATGCGTCCGGTTCTCATTGGATTTGAATCGATCTGCATTGATGATTAACCGCAAAAATGTATAATCGAGACTTTGTTAATTATTATGACAGCGGTAACTATGACAATCAAGGCGACAGTGAATTTCAAAATAAGTTTTTTTTCGGCTTAGAGTGAAGCAATTTGAAATTTTCAGCATATTCGATTTACATTATCTATTTTTTTAACTAAAAAATTAAAGAAATTAAATATATATTTAAAGAAATTGATACCAAGTCATGTAGAAATCATTCAGAAAATATTTGGCTGAATTGGTGTTTTGTAAATATATTTTTAACAATTACATACATGTAGATTTAGCAAATAACTATATTAAAATTCATGTAAACAATGAAACTAAAACATAAATATATTAAACAAGACATAAATAAACAAGACATAAATAAACAAACAAACAAACAACAAACTGTACATTATGTAAAATGTACATTATGTAATAATAAAAAAACTTATAAAATGAAAATGGAAAAAGAAAATGGAAAAAATATCGTAATTTTTTTTTTCAGTCGAGTTACTTTAAGTTAGCAGAGTAAAGAGGATTGAAATATTCTGTTTAACCTCCATTCAGAGATGCTGTTCCACCCGTATATGCTAGACATGTTCAACACGAGTGGATAAACATCGTTCAAGATATGCCGAATAATATCCAAAATATTGACTGTTCTATTAAAGGGAATGGAAGCTTTATTTATCCTATTACCTGAAGATGACGACGACTTCTGACTCTGGCCTCTGTTAACTTTAAATAAAATGTCTGATAAGCAATATTTTGAAACAGCATCCCTGAATACGACCCTAATAATACCCAATTGTTGATGTAAGTTTCTGGTCTTTAAAACAAGACCTTTTAAATTGGTAATTTATCTTTAGTAAATGGAAAGTACAGTTTTCTTCAATGTGCTGACATTGAAATTTCTTGTAGCATATTGCCGAACAACAAAAGTTCTGGTTTGGCCTTAGTTTAAGGTGCATGCAGAAAGGATTACTGTATTTGAGGATAATCTCCACGATCTGCCAATCCTTGTAGCTTCCGTAATATATCACTAAATGCAGGTCGATTCTCTGGTTTCTGTAATAAAAACAACATATAACCAACTGTTTATCTTTAAAGATGGCTTTTTTGTGCCAAACATTTTTCCATTTCAAAATGAAATAAAATGGGGTTTAAAGCCCGACTGTTCTGCTCCAACTAGGCTAATAAAGATATAAGGTTCACAAAACAATCGTTGAGTTGCCTAACGAATGAGTTACTAAATTAGATTATTGATCTAGCTTTCTGTAATGTTTCGTAGAAAAGTCATGATTATCCCGGCCTGTCAGCTTCAAAGAATAGTCAGTAGATTGGTTAAGAGGGACTAATTTCAAATCATGGGCAATCACTTGTTAACTTTTTCAGTCTTTTTTTTTTCATTGATGTTTAAATGGTTATAACTTGTTAAATACAACACAACCGTTTATTTAGGGACTTGTTATATATATACAGTGCTATAATTGTCAAAATATATGGAGACATTTGGAGATACTTATTTATGGTGGGGCACCCTAACATAGGGCCATAATTCAGTAACAAAATACCACAAAACGTGAACTTAATCTCTAAATCTGTTTTATACAGTAGTGTACCAAATTTCAATCAAATATCCAGAAAGCAAAATAAAACCAGACAGATGGACGGAGAGACAATTTATAGCATAGTCTCCACCAATTTCCCTGGAGGGCACTAATCATTTACATACCGCTTTCCAACATTCATTCATTAAAATGTATAAGAATTCTGGACATGAATCAGGTTTTTCTAATCTTTTATTGTACTCAACAATATGGTCCACTACCTCTGCATTCCTCATTTTACCATAGGGTGTTTCTCCAGCTGTAAATATCTCCCATATTAGTATACCTGTTATAATACAAATGATAAATACATGTTAATACCCAGCAATATTACAAATGATAACTTAATACCCCAAAATGTTTATATTATCACCATATATAAATGATAACTTAATACCCCAAAAATGTTTATATTATCACAATATACAAATGATAACATGGTAATACCCCAAAAATGTTTATATTATAACAATCTATAAATGATAACATGTTTATACCCTAAAAAATGTTCATATTATCACAAAATAATAACAGCATGTTTATACCAAGAAATGTTTATATTATCACAATATATAAATCATAACTTCACGTTTATACCCAGAAAGTGTTTATAATATCACAATATACAATTGATAACAGCATACACAGCAAGTGTATACCAGGGATAAGAAGGGAATTTCCACTCTCTAGAGAACCTCACATTACTTCAACTCCCATGGAAAATTCACATAGTCACTTTTTGTTACTGCTTTTTAATGTAAAACTTACCAAAAGCCCATACATCTGACTTGCTGCTGAATAAAGTAAAACTCAAGACTTCGGGTGCTGCCCACTTGACAGGAAACTTTGTTCCCACAGAACTTCGGTATTCATCATCTAACACATATCTAAAATATATTTATATATGATAAATACCAAATTATTTTGAAAATTTGATAATAATATTTATCAGCAAATCATGATTTGCCTAGTCTTTCAGCATACTGCACGCAGCGACCCATCTACGTCATACTTCCTATTCTCAGCCGGAGCTAGCTGTAGATAGGCAGCCTAAGTTTGGGATGAGTCTTTCAGATGGGACAAAACAAAAAAAACGAGTTCAGCTCGTGTACAGATTCATGTCCACTTTGAAGAAGAGTTAAAATTTCTAGAGATAAAGAGAAATGGGGTTTAACGTCCACTCAACACAAACTAGGTCATTTCGGGACTAACACATGGTTCAATTTTATTTCAATAATTCGCTTGCGCGTAGGGGTCCTAAGCAGTGGGAGGAAACTGGAGGACCCAGAGAAAACCCACGAGGTTGGACAGGCGACCCTACTCCTTGTCACGTACAATCGGGGAATCAAAACTCCGCCAGTTGACTCAATGACAGACCGTATGATACAGCGCGCGTGCTAACCATTCGGCCATCCAACCCCCCTAAAACTTCTAGAATTGCGCACACGACTATAGAGAGATAACAGATTTAATGTCCACTCGACACAGTGGGGGGAAGTCGGAAGACGCAGAGAAAACCCATGAGGTTGGACAGACGACCCTATTCCTTGTCACGTACAACCGGGGAATCGAAACCACGCCAGTTGACTCAATGACAGACCTTATAATGCAACGTGCATACACTAACCATTCGACCATCCAACCCCCCAGAGGGTCACGGTGGCTAAGTGGGTAAAACGCTGGCTCGCCTAGAGGTCGGGTGTTCGATCCATGCTTTGGCCGAGAAAGTTCACCAGATTTTCTGGCGTGGTTCTCCCTTGTCAGTGATGCAGGACAGAGAACCTGACAAGGCCAGCTGTTTAGTCATTCGTATGAGACGAAAAACCAAGGTCCCGTGTACACATTGGCGTGCACATAAAAGATCCCTTGACAGTTGGAATTTGATATAAGAGTACGCAGTAGTGCCGCTGTCCGGGCAAAATTTTCCTCATAGCACACTGTATGGCGTATGCCCGTCTTCATTAGCCCAGTTCAAGACTAGTTCGGAGCAAAACATTAGGACGTTAAACCCAATATCATTTCATTTCATTTCCAACCCCCCACATGACTAGAGAAAAGTAACTAAATGACTAAAGTATAGTTTGGCTAAGACATCACAGCTCCATTTCTTATAATTTCTAACAAAATGGCCTTCACACTATAAAGCATAATACTAGAAGATGCATAAGAAAAACCTATTGTGATAATAGAATTTAAAACAATAATATCCACTTACGCATGCTTGTATATTTTACGTGTTGTATGAAGCCACAGCGAATGGAATTCGACAATCAAAATATAATTTTTTTAAGACGAAACGATATATCAAATAATCACCGCTTGGATTAATTAATAATAATGACTTGCAATCAAACAATCATTAATCCATGACAATTGATTAGTATTACTCAATGACATGGTCATGCTAGTTGATTAATTTATAGCATGCCAGTACACAGTTTCGGTTGACACTCAACGGCAATCTATATGTGATTAGAATTTTATGATTTTTTTCCGCCACTTCTTATAAACAATCGGAAGTACCACAAAATATTATTGCCAAAATCAAATTTGTATTGCCACTTACATTTCTTTATCGCAAATTGCGACCTGACAGTGTATACTGTGGTATCAAGGCAGGGTCCAGAGCTAACACTGTCAGGTCGCAACCATTCAGCCACCAAAACCCTCACAGAAGTATGGACATACCTAGTTAAACCAAAATCAGCCACTTTAACCACCTGGTTCTCTCCCACCAGACAATTTCTAGCTGCTAAATCACGATGTATAAATCCTCGCTGTTCTAAATAAACCATTCCTGAACACACTTGTAAACAAAAATCTAACATGGTTGCCGGCTTCTTTAATGTTGCTGTCCTATGACGTTTCAAATAAGTTGATAATGCGCCTGGAAAGAAAAATAAAATGCATTTTTCAAAACAGGTATGCATGTGCTATAAACAAGGAACCAACCTGCCATCTTGAAATTGTGATGTCATATCAAAATTCAAAGAGACAGAGAGAGAAATGGGGTTTAACATCCACTTGACACAAACAAGGTCATTTAGGGACTAACATATGATTCAGTTTTATTTCAATAATTCACTTGTGTGTAAGGGTCTTTAGGACCCAGAGAAAACCCACGGGGTTGGACAGGTGACCCTATACTCCTTGTCACGTACAAGCGGGGAATGAAAACCATGCCGCTTGACTCACTGACAGACTATATGATTTCACACGTACGCGTTAAACCACTAGACCGAGGAATAAGCACGCCAAATTTATTTCATTTGGCTGAAACTCAAAGAAGAGCGTCGTCCATAAGAAAAACAACAAGATGAGTAGCACTTGAGGCCGAGTTCCTGGTCTAAAATGAGAGAATCTTTAACAGGCATGCTTCAGTTAAATTGTGTCCAACAAAGTCTCACAAAAGAATGTAAAAGATTGGATTCGAAATATAGCCTGTATGTAAGAATGTATTACACTGGGAGAAATGAAATGAAATGAAATGGGGTTTAACGTCCTACTGTTCTGATCCGAACTGGGCTAATGAAGACGGGCATACGCCATACAGTGTGCTATGAGGGAAATTTTGCCTGGACAGCGGCAGTACGGCCTACCCTTATATCGAATTCCAACTGTCAAAGGGATCTTTTACGTGCACGTCAATGTGTACACAGGACCTCGGTTTTTCGTGCCATCCGAATGACTAGACAGTTGTCCTTGTCAGGCCCTCCATTCAGCATCACCGAAAAGGGGGAACCACGCCGGGAAAAACTGGATGAACTTTCTCGGCCAATGCAGGAATCGAATACCCGACCGAATTATACCGGGATGATTTCATCTTTAAACGTGTATGAAATTACAACATACCAGATCTCATTAATTCTGTTATAATACATAATGGCTCATTCTTCGTAACAATACCATATAACTGTACAAGGTTGGGATGACTTAATTGTCTGCAAGAAAAATAATCAACAATAATTTTAATATCTATAATCAGCTGCCACGGCTGAGACGTCCATTTCAAGGTTTTGGATATGTCTGCTTGAAAACGTTGAGAGAACCCTCAACGAAACGTCGCTTTAATTAAAATAGTAATTGTGTTCCATGTTATGTTTTTGTGTTTTATTAAACAAGGACTACTTAATCATTTTTGGATTTGATTATTACTTTGGCAGATATAGTACAATTGCAAGGCAGGTCTGTTCTTTGTTCTGGCCAACTATACTGTACATCATCATTGTCTATAACTCAAGTCAGTACTGTCTGCTAAATATGTAGAAGAATTTTACTTACGTCATTGTTCTAGCCTCTTCTATAAATCCAGCCTCAGACATACTTAAATCTTTTAATGTTTTAACAGCCACTGGTTTACCACTCAACAAGCCTTTAAATACAGTCTGAAAATTGAATTGAAATTTGTTTAAGAGCACATAAATGTAGGGTGACCCACCATAAATAAATATCTCGACAATTACACCACAATATTTATATATATGCCAAGCCTCAAATCAGTTTCACACAATTATAGTCACTAAATAAACGATCATGTTGTACTTAATAAGCTATGACCATTAATCATCTATAAATAATAGACTGAAAACTGGTTCCAAGTGTCGTCCATAACATCCAGACACTTTTGAAGAAAAGATAGGTTACGTGCCCTTGTTTTGAAATTAGTCTCGCTTAACCAGTCTATCGACCATTCTACGTCTGATTGACAGGTCGGGATAATCAAGACTACTTTTTTACGAAACATAACAGAAAGCTAGAACAAGAAATTGAATTTAGAAATAAGCACTTTAGACAACTCAACAATTGTTTTAAGAAACTTGTAAAAGTAAAATGAAACTACTGCTAGTATCATGTTCTTGTCTAACCCGAGTGTTTCAGAGATATTATTTGTACTAAACCAAAAGATGCGGCTCAACGGTACAGTTAATGATAAAACAATTTAAAAAATAAAACAAACGTAATTTCTAAAGCTGCTGTAATAACCAAGAAGCTAAATTTTACTGCTATTCAAAATTGTCAACAATAGATTTTTTACGGCTGTAACATACTATTCAAAAAAAGTAGGGGATATTTGATTTTTAAGTGTTATTAAAGTCACCTAATGAAACTGACGAAGAAACAAATGACAAAATGAAATGAAGTTCACATTCATCGATTTATTCCAAATGATCGTTAGACTAAGTAAGGCACAGACTGACCATTATAAGGGTAAAATGATACCCGGGGTCAAACAGCAAAGTTACCACAGCATCACAACCAAGTCAGTAACGGGTAAATCCTCCTCTGTTTGCCAAACAAGCATTGATCCGACGTGGCATACTCCTAATGAGACGTCTAAGGTCATTTTGGTCCAGATTGTCCCATTCCTGTTGCAACGCAGCAGCAAGTTCTTGGACATTGGCAGGACGTTGTTGACGTTGACGTAACCTCTGTCCAAGCATGTCCCAGACATGCTCGATGGGGGAGAGGTCGGGACTCAGTGCTGGCCAAGGTAATGTGGTGATGTTCTGTTGTTGGAGGTAACCTGTAACGATCCTGGCCCTGTGACATCTTGCGTTGTCATCCTGGAAGATGAAACGGCGGCCATGACGTCGTGCGAACGGCACAACATGGACTGCCAAGATGTTGTCCCGGTAGTACTGGCCTGTAACACGCCCTGCAACAACATGTAAAGCTGTTCTTCAAGCAACAGTGATGCCTCCCCACACCATAACAGAACCACCCCCAAATCGATCATGTCTGATGACGTTAACGTCTTGGAAGCGCTCGTTTCGACGACGCCACACCCTCCTACGTCTGTCCAAAAAATCAACAGTGAACCTTGACTCATCTGAAAACATCACATTGCTCCAGCGTCGATTATCCCAGTGTTGACGATCCCTACACCAACGACGTCTTGCCTGAATGTGATGATCTCTCAAACAAGGGATCACGCGAGGACGTCGGGCGGGAAGGTGACCCCTATGCAGTCGATTCCGAATCGTCTGGCCACTCACTCTCACACCAGTGTCTGTTTGAAGACGAGCGCTGATCTGATTTGCTGTGATGACACGATTTCTCAAGGCCAAGGTACGGATAAATCGATCCTGGGCTTGAGTTGTCGCCCTTGGTCGACCTGAGCGTGGTCTGTCCTGTACAGATTGTGTATCACGGTATCTGGACCATAGCCTGCTTATGACAGACTGAGAAACATTCATCGTCCGCGCCACAACCGCCTGTGTTGTGCCGATCTGTAGCATGCCAAGGACACGTAACCTTTCATTTTGGGTAAGCCGACGCATATCAAAATTTGTTTTCTGGTCACTAAAACAATTAAACTGATGTTTCCACCCTGGAATTCAATGCTACAATGACTGTAACATTCCAAGTCAGAGTCGTGCAAATCTTGGGTTGGACCCCCATGATGATCCCAAGCATCACCTGCATTCCATGCGGTAGCTATTGGTGCGTTTGGGCGTCACATGTAACTGGAAATGTTTCTTCTGTTAGGTTCTATAGTGACTTTTTTCGTAGTCATTTGCATATTTTAGTATTATGCCCCCAAAATCAAATATCCCCTACTTTTTTTGAATAGTATAGTTGATATATTTGTAGAGAATTGCACGTGCCATGGCTATTTAACGACTCAAAGAGAGTGCGGGGTAGTCAAGAATCAGTTCGAGACACGCAACTGAAGCGTGCACATTTAGCCGTGTCGAGACCAACTTTCTGTAGAGTGCACGGGTCACCCTAATAAATGATGAAATAAAATTCTATGTGATTATAGCTAGTGTTTACTATATTCACTTTATAACAATTCTATGTGATTATAGCTAGTGTTTACTATATTCCCTCTATAACAATTCTATGTGATTATAGCTAGTGTTTACTATATTCCCTTTATAACAATTCTATGTGATTATAGCTAGTGTTTACTATATTCACTTTATAACAATTCTATGTGATTATAGCTAGTGTTTACTATATTCCCTTTATAACAATTCTATGTGATTATAGCTAGTGTTTACTATATTCCCTTTATAACAATTCTATGTGATTATAGCTAGTGTTTACTATATTCCCTTTATAACAATTCTATGTGATTATAGCTAGTGTTTACTATATTCACTTTATAACAATTCTATGTGATTATAGCTAGTGTTTACTATATTCACTTTATAACAACTCAACATCAATCTGATTAAAATTATTCAATATATTGTCGTTTATGTGTCAGTTTTTAATTTTTATATTACAACCTTAATCCAGTCGACTGGCGTGGGACGTCACTTTGGGGATGCTCGATTCACAGTCCAAAACGTCCCGAATTGACAGAATTGTGACGTAAGTAAACACAGCGAATATGTTTCGGCTGCATAGTTGATTGAGATATTAACTTATTCAGTCATGACGCATGCTTTGTAGCCCGAAATCCACCTTTTCACTCGATTGTCACTATTTTTGGGACTGAGAGAATTCAATTCCGGAACGTTCAATCGAGTATCACCAGGGACTACACATACGATATACACCAATGTTTATTGACAGTTCAATTAACATACAAATGACTAAAATAAGCGTTACATAATTATGCCACAAATTAAATAAGCAAACACTATATAAGGCAGAAGCATAGAATTGTTAGAGAAATCTCACGACAGCAATTTTAAAACTATGTTTTAAAGTGACTTTAAGTAATAAGATATACAATAACTTTTTATTTTTTAGCATTTTTACCTATATTCTATATATTACTCATTCATATGTAAATAACTTAATTAAATTAACCTGTCCATAATATCATGCCTTATGTATTGGACGTTAAAGTTGTAATAAACAACAACAACAATTGTTATAGATTGCCTGCGATATCACTACTGTGGAAGGGACGTAAAATCAATTATTCAACAACTATCTAAATTGTTATAGATTACAAACGGGTGACTGCAAAATTTTACAGTGAATTTTAATATGCCACATTATCTTTGTGTTATTGTGAGTTGTGAGTTGAGAGAGAGAGAGAGAGAGAGAGAGAGAGAGAGAGAGAGAAATGGGGTTTAACGTCCACTCGACACAAACTAGGTCATTTCGGGACTAACATATGGTTTAATTTTATTTCAATAATTTGCTTGCACATAGGGGTCTTTAGCAGTGGGTGGAAACCGGAGGACCCGGAGAAAACCCATGAGGTTGGACAGGCGATCCTACTTCTTGTCACGTACAACCGGGGATTCGAAACCACGCCAGTCGACTCAATGACAGACTTTACGATACAGCGTGCGCACGCTAACCATTCAGCCACCCAACCCCCCTTGTGAGTTGTGGAAATTCTAACAAACAAAAGGGACATACTGCGCCTTTTTTCCGATACACAGTATCTGGCCAGTTTGTACTGAATGACACTTCAATTAACATTTGACTCTTTAAAATAATTAATACTTATTCCCTACCTAAAAAATCAATGTGTCTTTATTGCGATAAATATCTAAATATAAATTGATAAAGTTAAGAATACACATGACAAATTATAATTTACAAACAAATAAATAAATGTATTGCTAATACACGACATAATAAATTGTGCAAAGTAAGTACTTACACCAAAACAACCAGAACCAAGCTCTTCACCAAGTTGTAAATTAGCTGGATCAATTTCCCATTTGCCTGTTATAGAAATAAAATGTAGTGTTACAGGTCAACTAAAATATACACAAACCAGCAGCTCGCACTGGGATTGGGGTATCATTTAATCTTGTGTAAACAGCGTCAATTTCTCTGATGCGTTGAGAAATTCATTACTATAGTGAAAGGCATCATTATAGTATATTATAGTATAAATTAACGGAGAAATAATTCTATAACTCCGGCCGAATGGATTGGGCTGGTAACAATAGCAATTTGTTGAATTTGCAGAACCTTTTAGTACAGTTTATTAGATGCCAACAGTTTTAAAATCTTAGCCGAGTTCAAGCAGATGAGAAACCTTTAACAAGACCTGCATACTGATAAAAATAGCCATTTGAAATGAAATGAAACAAAATGGGTTTAATGTCCTACTACTGTTCTATGAAGACGGGCATACGCCATACAGTGTGCTATGAGAGAAATTTTGCCCAGACAGTGGCACTACGGCCTACTCTTATATCGAATTCCAACTGTCAAAAGTTCTTTTACAAGCACGCCAATGTGTATACGGGACCTTGGTTTTTCGTCCTATCAAACGACTAGACAGCTGTCCTTGTCTAAACATTTGAAACACTTTGATAATTAACTACACTAATGGTAGTGTGCCATTTAGGAAGAGAGACTTGCGATTTTCTTTGCATCAAAAATATAGTGAACTGCTAGTGATTTCCTAACGTCATGAACCTGGTAAAGGAAGAGAGACTTGCGATTTCAAAAAGATAGTGAAGTTCATTCAATTTTCTAGCGGCAAAAACCTGGTAAAATACTAGCGAATTCTTAGCACGTTCAAATTATTTTGTACCCACAGGCCTTAGTTTGAATAACGACATGGTTTCCCCTTGTCAGTGGTGCAGGACGGAGGGCCTGACAAGGACAGCTGTCTAATTGCTCGGATGGGACAAAAAACCTAGGTCCCGTGTATACATTGGCGAGCATGTAAAATATCCCTTGACAGTTGGAATTCAATAGAAGAGTAGGCTATAGTACCGCTGCTCGGGCAAAATTTCTCTCATACCACACTGTATGGCATATGGCCGTTTTCATTAGCCCAGTCAGAGCAGAACAGTAGGACGTTAAACCCCATTTTATTTCATTTCCTTAGTATGAAATGCTCGGAATGTGCTGTAACAGATGAAATACCAGTGGTATATCTAAGAAAGACTTTTCGCTGTAAAATGTATAATATATTGACTTACTATGACCCAAACCAGCTGTTGATGGTTTATTATTCTGGTTTGGTGGTTCTCGCAATCTGGTAGTTAAACCTAAAATAATATATTTATTACATATGTAAATTGCCACAATAAACAGGAGAGAGAGAAAGAGGGAGATCGAGAGTGGTCGGGGGGGGGGGTGACATCCACTGACATAAACTAGGTCATATTGGGGCTAAGATATGATTCAATTTTGGTGCAGAAGAGAAGGACGTTAAACCCCATTTCATTTCATTTCATTTTGATTCAATTTTATGTCACTAATTTATTTGCATATAGGGTGTCTTTAACTATGGGAGGAAACTATATAAGTTAGAGGACCCAAGAAAAATCCACTAGATCGGAATAAACAAAATAATCTATTACAATCCAACCTAATCTCGGTTATCTCATATGTGTGTCTACTTGGCAATCTAGACTATCTTGTCAAAACTTCAAACACTCATTTGGTGCAAAAATGTAGGAAGTTAAATTCTCTTTTTTTTAGACAACGTTTGTATAACCAGTCATTGCAAAATATACTGGTGGTGGTGTTTTCCAAGCTATATAATTAGATTTATCTAAGATTAAAGATGCCTTCCCGTGTACAAACTGGGTGATTTGATGATATATTTGGATGACGCGGTACCTAGCAACAGGTGTCCTTAATTGTTGTCCATTTATCATAAATATCAAAGCCTAATTAAATTCTCGGATTATCCACTGCCCACGTCTTTTTCTGTGTTTTTTTTTATCTCAGAAACTGTTGTAATTTAAGCTCACCATTAAGTTTATTATCATATACATCCAGCCACACTAAGGCTGGGAGCATGGACAATCTCCGTCTGCAACCTTTGACTTCACTCGAGCAGACATCCCTAATCGTCAGGTTGCCAGTTAGGGAACATTTTTGTCCTGTATGCGCTCCATGGGTGTTTTTCAGGGAATCCAGTATTTTTCTAGTAAGATTGGGTATCTATACTTTCCATATATACCAAAATTGCCATACTTTTATTGGAAATAACCACCCGATAAATAATTTTATGGGAAAGTAACTTTAATTTATATGTTAGTGAAATGTTTATCCTACCTCCGGAATTATGCTTATGGTAATGTATAAGTTCTGGAATGGTTTCAAAACAATGTTGATGAGAAATGTAAAACTGCTCATTGACATTCTTCCTAATATGGTAATGTGATACACTATCTCTCCTGAAATAGTCAAACATGTGTATAACCATTAAATATTGTATCCTGTAGGCAACCTTTCTAATCCAATTGAATCTAAGCCGGGAGATTTTTGATTTTGTATTCTTCATTTAATGTTAAACATACATTATGCAAGAGCTAAATCTGCCTATTGTACAGGTCTTTCCTTAGGACTGAAATGTTATCTACATTATTAGACTTTAATTAACTTATCCAGACCATAATCAACTCTCGATGCCATCGCTAGGCTGTGATATTTAGCAGATTGGAATACATTTTTCTTAAAAATAATTAAATGTAAAAATGGATAATCGAGACTTAGTTTTTTATCGTACCGACTTTAGTAATGATGATCGAGACTAGGCCTAAATTCAATGCTAATATCTTGGTTTAGAGTGGAACTATATGACTGAAATCTTCAGCATATTCTCTTTACGCTATGTTTTAACTTTTATAGCGAGAACTGTCAACTCTTTATCTAATCGTCCATAATGCCCCCTTAAGGAATCAATTTGAATACATTTTAACATGGATTAAGTCATGGAAAATTTGATATTTCTGTCTGTTTTGATACCAAATCCAAGTCTCATCACACCTGTTTTTTAGTTCAAATGTTCTATAAATCATTAATTAGGCATTTGTTTACATGACAAGTCCATAATCAACCCAGGTGGCCATGATATTAAATGGATTAGAAAACACTCACTATTTAATAAATTAACATTAAAATGGATAATAGAGACTTTGTTTATTAAAGGCTCAATACACTCTTGTTGTAACTGAATAATATGTCCCAATCTTTATTCTGGTCAACAAATTGTACTATTTTACAATATTCCAATTAATTGATGATACAAATTTCATCTTAACACACCTAATTTAAAAAATTGGAAAAATTCAACTAAATGATTTGAAAAGCCTGGCGTAAAGCTTTTCAAATGTGACATGGATTTAAATATATTTTTGAACCCTCTCGACAAGTAAAATAGGATTTAATGCATAATTTACACAACAGGTAAGACACTAATACATCTAGTACTTAGAATAAGGCTATTTTTTTATTTTCTGGAGCTGTCAAGCCAGCAAGAGTGTTATTGTCCCTTTAATGCAGTGGTACTTGACAATCAAGACTATCTTGTCAAAACTTCAAATACTCCTAACTTGACTTAGAATTTTGAAATTTTCAATATATTCAATTTTCATTAACTATTTTTTAATTATTATAGCCAGAATGGCCAGTTCTTTATCTAAATCTCACATAATGCATTTTTAAAGTCCATTTCTATGATACCAACACTCATATCACTTGATCAAGGGTAATAATTTTAGCACCATTATGCTTTCTGGTAAGAACGGTTTGTTCTAAACTTACCCGACTTTACCGTTCTCTGTGTAAACAGACACTGTGTACAAACCAGGAGTACTGGTGGAATCACGAACTAAAAAACCCCCCTCTTTTGCCTGCTCCATTAAAATAGATTCTGTTCTATCGCGAGTAATATCTTTATAATACCAGCTATGAAAAAAAAAAAAAAATGTAATTTTAAACAAACTATAATTTATATCTTAATAAAGGCACAACAGGTCAGATCGTTCACATATATCAAAAAAAAAAGAAAAGAAGAATAAAATGAATGTAATTATGCACATCCTAATATAAAAACATAGCTAGCCAGGTAACAACACATAATGTCCACTACAGGTAATTAGTGGTCCAGGTGGTCCTTAAAAGTTGTCACATATTTTGTTATTAACCCATTGTACGCTAGGAGCGAATTAGCAGAACACCTTTCTAATCCCTACAGATAATTAATCCAACAGGCTTCCTTCTATAGCTAATTAGTGGAATTGTAATAATTCAAAGTCCTTCTTTATAATTGAAAATAGCCCCCCGCCCCCCCCAAAAAAAACCAAAAACTATTTTTAATACAAAAAAATACTTTGTTACAAACATGTACAGATCATTGAATATTTTAGAACGATATAAAATACAATTGTATAAAAAAGCAATTATATTACTATAAATCATATTGAAAAGTCTGTTCCACTAAAAGTATGACTTTTCTCTATCTTAACGGTAAAATAACGTGAACAAATATCCTCAAAGATTTTTTAAAAAACATAAAACAGTGTTCAGAGTAAATATCAATATAACTCACACCAACTGACTGTCACTTTATTGCTATCAACATTTCTGTCTTCAGATATTTCGCAGGGATTGTCGAAATTAAAAATACATAGTTCAAATTTTCGAGAGAAACAACCCTTGAAGTAACAATTATAATTAATTAAAATTTGATTGCCTTCTAGCTTTTCCTAAAATTGATGGTTACATTTTTCTCAGAATTGCTCAAATGTTTATTACTGAAGAAGTAATTTTATAGCACCTCAGATGAAAGCAGTGCTCACTCTGGGTTTCATTTTTTTTACGCCAATTTTTCATTTTAATTTATTAGCCATATATTTTCTCTGCCAAAATAAAGAACAAATATCTATTACATTTTTTCATTATTTTGTTTTACATAAGTACATACAATATACATATGATATTACAATTTACAAAATTCTTCTCTGCTTTGCAGAAGCCCATTTTTTGAGAGCCTTTTCAACATCTGGGTTAACCACTTTTCCATTACTTAGTAACATTAAATTACACAGTGTATTTGTTTCTAATGAATCTTATCTGTATATCTGAAAATTGCCATTCATCCTTAAAAGATCTACCTTTTCATAATGTGCTTAAACAAAAATGGATAATCGAGACTATGTTTTTTTTATTGTACCGACTTTAGTAATGATGGTCGAGACTAGGCCTAAAATTCAAAAGCTAATATCTTGGTTCAGAGTGGAGCAATTTGACCTTTCAGTTTTTTGTATCTAATCTCCCATAATGCCTCTTTAAGATTTTTCTTTTTCGAAATTTTTCTCAGTCGCGAACTTTTGAGATACCGTAGCCTACATGCAGACCTATTGTAGAAGTTGATATCGCTTCAACATTCAAGGATGTAATAACATTAGATGGACGAGAGCTGATCATGTCAGTATCATCTGTAAACTTGGAGCATTTTGGTGGTGATATACTAAAATAATCTGACATTCTTCTATCGAACGTTGATGAAGGCTGTTCAATTTTTCGCTTACGACCCACGGCATGTGATTTGATGATAACTGACTTTCGGCAACCCAAAGAATATATACGCAATTATAAACTGTAACAAAAAACCTGGCTTCATTTATTATCGATACGGGCAACAGGAGTAAGAAAAAGATAAATCAGGCGTCATAATTCAATAATCCCAAACAAATCGAACAAGTATTATTCACAGTGTCCGCCATTTTGAATATGTAGAAACCGTGAAAATATATTTAAAGACAAATAATTAAATCTTTTGTCTCTTAATTAGTTTATAACTACTCTTACTGTAAATACTAATCAACATTAATCCGAGATTGATCAAGAGACAAAAGATATTTCTATTATTGGCACCTAATTGATTGATAACTGACTCAGCCAAGCGCAATAGACTGTAACGTGTATGCACAGCGTGGAAATAAAGCTTCGTGGCAAGAAAAATTTATTGCCAATTTTAAGAAAGAATCGCCATACAGGAAAAAGTTATCACCAAAAATTTTGCCAGAACGAATATTTTATCACGAAAATTATATTTTTTATCGCAATTGACGGCAATGGCAATCGACAGCGTGAGTGCTGGATGAAAGTAACCGCTTCATCTTCTTTGCTAATGACTACAACTAAGATTACTATTACCCAGAACAATAGCCATTCAAGACCAATAAAGTCTGAAGCTGTACTTTTCACAAATAATACAAATACATACCCATATATTTCAAGACCAAATTTTTTTTTAACATAATTTGCAGGGATATAACCACTTCTCCTGAAAATAACATAAAATTATATTGGAATTTTCATTGGTCCAAACCTAGCATCAAGATCTTTTAACATGTCATTTGCTTATGTAGTATTAGCTGCAATTTTATAACATAGGACAGAAGAAAATATCCAAGATCAGATCAGATGTGATTTTCATACATCACATGCTCAGTAACACTATAACATAATTGTAAATTACTTAAGAGTTGATAAATATTTTGATAATTGTAAATTACTAATTGAGTTTATAAATATTGAGATAATTGTAAATTACTAACAAGAGCATCGCTAACGCAGCAATATACGTCCACATTCCTGTTTTGTTTGATATGGTCCAGTTTGCATTGAGGGTCTGTGAAATAAAACTGGGTTGTAGGACTGCTATCAGTTTAACGTTTCGTTCACATTAACAGAACACAATTTTTATTTTAAAACAATCGATGTCTTTATTCTAAAAGCATGACGTTTAGAATAGGTATCCCCATTTCAAAAGGATCGGTTAAGAATTGCGGCCTGTAGGCAAAACACAAGACACACAAACATTAGGCGTGACTCTGTCCCAAGGGGTTGAGCATGCACCAAAAATAATAATAGAGGCCAGCCTTAGGATTAAGGAATAAGTGTAAAAACGTAGCCTTAGGCTATAAGGAATAAGTCTAAAAAAAATTTCAAGATGATCGATTAAGAAATGCGGTCTGCAAGTGACACACAGACATAAAAAAAGAAAATGGGCGTAGCTCTGCCCCTGGGGGTTGGGTATTCACCACAACTAATAGGGATGTTCCTTAGGATAGAAGGAATATGTATGCTAAGTTTCAAGGTGATACGATAAGAAATGCGATCTGTAGATGACAAACAAATAAATAAATATAAGGGATGGGCGTGGCTCTACCCCTGGTGGTCGGGCATGCACCAAAAACAATAGGGATCATACTTAGGGTATAAGCAATTCATATGAAAAATTTTCAAGACGATTGATTAAGAATTGTGGCCTGTAGGTGACACACAGACATAAAAAGAAAAGAAAATGGGCGTGGCTCTGCCCCTGGGGGTAAAAAAACAATAGGGGTCATCGTTAGGGTATAAGCAATTCATATGAAAAAATTTCAAGACAATTGATTAAGAATTGTGGTCTGTAGGCGACACACACACATAGAAAAAGAAAATGGGCGTGGCTTTGCCCCTGGGGGGTGGGCATGCACCCAAAACGATAGGGATGTTCCTGAGGGTACAAAGAATAAGTATGCAAAGTTTCAAGATGATACGTTAAGAAATGCGGCCTGTAGACGACAAACAAACAAATACAAAAATGGGCGTGGCTCTGCCCCGGGGAGGCGAGCATGCACTAAAAACAATAGGGATCATCCTTAGGGTATAAGGAATAAATATGTAAAGTTGATACGTTAAGAAATGCGGTCTGTAGATGACAAACAAATAAATAAATATAAGGAATGGGCGTGGCTCTGCCCCTGGGGGTCGGGCATGCACCAAAAACAATAGGGATCTTCCTTGGGGTATAAGGAATAAGTATACCAAGTTTGAAGAAAATCCAGTAAGAATTGCGCCCTGTAGGCGACACAAAGACACACGAAAAGAAAATGGGAAATGGGCGTGGCTCTGCCCCTGGGGGTTGGGCATGTACCCCAAACGATAGGGATGTTCCTTAGGGTACAAAGAATGTGTATGCAAGATTATAAGTTAAGAAATGTGGCCTGTAGACGACAAACAAACAAATACTAGAAATGGGCGTGGCTCTGCCCCTGGGGGTCGGGCATGCACCAAAAACAATAGGGATCTTCCTTGGGGTATAAGGAATAAGTATACCAAGTTTGAAGAAAATCCAGTAAGAATTGCGCCCTGTAGGCGACACAAAGACACACGAAAAGAAAATGGGCGTGGCTCTGCCCCTGGGGGTTGGGCATGCACCCCAAACGATAGGGATGTTCCTTAGGGTACAAAGAATGTGTATGCAAAGTTTCAAGATTATTAGTTAAGAAATGTGGCCTGTAGACGACAAACAAACAAATACTAGAAATGGGCGTGGCTCTGCCCCGGGGGGTCGGGCATGCACCAAAAACAATAGGGATCTTCCTTGGGGTATAAGGAATAAGTATACCAAGTTTGAAGAAAATCCATGAAGAATTGCGCCCTGTAGGCGAACCACAGACACACACACACACACACACACATACATACATACACACACACACACACACACACACACACACACAGACAGGGGCGACGGCATAATACGTTCACATTATGAATGTGGACGTATAAAAATGGGTTGATAAATATTAAATTCTATGTATAAGTTGACAGTTAGTGCATGAAAATTTTGAATGTTTTTTCCTTACTTGTTTCTGTCTTCTGCCTGCCACCAATGTTCTTTACTTTTATCTAATATTGTATATTCCTCCCCCTATAAAAATAAATATAGCAATAATTGTATAATCCTCCCCTAAACAAGCCAACAGTGATGCTGATGTCCCCCACGGCCTATACTATATACCGGAAAACACCGGAAAACAACCGGAAAACAACCGGAAATCACCGGAAAACACCATGTTATACTGAATACTGGAAAACACACTAAATACCGGAAACCACCCTTAATACCGGAAACCACCCTAAATAGGTAACCTGGAGAAGGGCTATACTACAAACCGGAAACTAACCCTAACCCTAACCCAGGCACACAGAGGACCAGGCTCCCGGTTACCTATTTAGGGTGCCAGTCTCCGGGTTACCTATTTAGGGTATTTTCCGGTATTTAGTGTTTTTGCGGTGTTTTCCGGCATTCAGTATAAAATGGTGTTTTCCGGTTGTTTTCCTGTGTTTTACGGTTGTTTTCCGGTGTTTTCCTGTGTTTTCCGGTATATAGTATTGCTGGCCCCCACCAAATTGAAAAAGGTAATAAGATGATACACATTCTATAATTGCATATTATCGAAGCAGAAAATGTTTATTATTGAACATAGTCAAGCTATTGGTGTAACAGAACTATATGAAATGCGCATTATCGAATTTAGTCATGGTATTGATGTAATGATAGAAGTCAAGTTTCAGGATTCTCACTCAATTAGAATCAAAGTTGTTGAGGTGCAAAGTCTCAACCAATCCAATTGCTCATCATCGAACTTAGTCAAGGTATTGATGTACTGAAACTATACTCTGAGTTTGATGTAATGAAACTACAGTAGAATCTGTACAAGCAGCCACTCCTATTCAGCAACATCTCCTTGTAAGCGGTCACAAGAAATCCCCCCCGTAGAAATTCTATTGCTTCATCTCTTTAATCAACAGTCACTCCTCTAACACGACCACCGGTCACTATTTTACTAATAAATTTAGCAAAATAGCGCTTATTCAACGGCCATTGTTGAATGATACCATATTGTCGTACTTCGTAGCATCTCCTCTAATCCTGTGATTAATAGTTAATTATCTACTCCCCCACCGATCAGGTAAAACGAACTGTGAAAATAACAATAAACCTGTGATTATCTGTTAATTAATCTTTTGTTTTATTAAATGACAAACCCTGATCATTGTTTTCACACGTAACGAAACACTATTTGATACTGATTAAATGAACAGAAAGTACCGTCAAAGCCGAGTTTTGTCACGATCATTTAGTATCCATTTTCCATTGCTACTTTGTTGCTAAACAGAAGTTTTAGTGCCTGCTATATTATATAAGAGTTACACCCCCTGAAAATTGGTGACAAATTCAGCGATGGTTTTTTGGACATGTGCGTTTTTGATAAAATAAAATTAATTCATGAATTGTCTTCACAAAAATGGATAAATATTATTGAATACATCACAATGGTAGACAGTATCAATGTTGGTACAAAATGACACCTTTACAGAAGATATATCAGAGATTTGAGTCAAAGAATTTTCGTTCTAAGCAAGTTTCAGCGACGGCCAAATTTACCGATGCGGGTATTGATGTTTGCTCCCAATAATGCACCCAAGCGTAAAATTTACTTGATGTCAGCACTAACAAACACTGAGATTTTATTAAGAGGTCACTCCTGTTAAGTGGCCAGTCATGAAATTTCCCTTTAGTGGCTGCTTAATACAGATTCTACTGTATACACCAAGTTTCACCATTCTTACTCAATTGGAATCAAAGTTATCCTGTCCCAAAACATTGTCGCAGAAAATGTTCATTATTGAACTCAGTTAAGGTACGGATGTAATGAAACTATAGGGAATGTCCCAACCAATCAAATTGTGTATCTTTGTTTAGCCTAAGCAGAAAATGCTCATCATCAAACTCAGTCAAGGCATTCAACTAATAAACACCTATACCAAGCTTGAACATTCTAGCTCAATTAGAAGCAGAGTTATTGTGTCCCAAAAAATGTGACGAACATGTAGACAAATCGACAGACAGACCAACGGATAGACCGATTTTAATTACAGTCTCTTGCTTTTCTCTAAAGGCGGGGGACAATAATAAGTTCCCTTTCAATGGTAAGAGCAATAACTCCTTATGAATAGCTGAACTATCCCAGCAAGTCTGAAAAAGTATTCTGAAATACAAATTCAGTGACAGGTGCAATAACACCATGGTAAACTGAATTTCCTTGCGACTTGCCAAACAATCTCAGCAAGTTTTAAAAAAAAATAATCAAAACTGAGAGAGAGAGAGAGAGAGAGAGAGAGAGAGAGAGATGGAGAGAGATAGATGGGGTTTAACGTCCACTCGACACAAACTAGGTCATTTCGGGACTAACATATGGTTTAATTTTATTTCCATAATTCGCTTGCGCGTATGGGTCTTTAGCAATGGGAGGAAACCGGAGGACCCAGAGAAAACCCACGAGGTTGGACAGGCAACCCTACTCCTTGTCACGTACAACCGGGTAATCGAAACAACGCCAGTTGACTCAATGACAAACTTTATGATACAGCGCGCACACGCTAACCATTCAGCCATCCAACACCCCCTAATCAAAACTGTAGTGTTTCCAAGAATTGTGCACAGACGTGACATAGGGCCAATAATAAAAAAAAAATTCTCAGGTGGACATATAAGTTTACTCACTTGTATTAATTCTAAATCACCATCTTCAGCTGGTTCAAAATCATAAATAGCTATATATACTAGTTTTTCTTGTTTTGCTTTTGCAGGGCCATTTGTAAGTGGTGGACTTGGTAGTTTTCTATTGATTACTTTCTTGCCCGTGCTTCCAGCTATTACAAATATAGATTTAGATTGTATGAATTTGACATTGAATTAATGTGAAAGAAATTAGTGCTAAATAATACACAAGATTAAATGATACCTGGATTACAGTGATATAAAACTTCTCCTTCCATTATCCTCATAAATTTACAAACACAAAGTAACGATTTTCTTGATTTATTCATTAGAAAAACTGCTTTATTTGGGGGGATCACGTGGAGGTCGGGTGTTCAATCCCTGCATTGGCCGAGAAAGTTCATCCAGATTTTCCGGCGTGGTTCTCCCTTGTCAGTGATGCAGGACGGAGGGGTTGACAAGGAAAGCTGTCTAGTCGTTCGGATGGGACGAAAAACCGAGGTCCCGTGTACACATTGGCGTGCACGTAAAAGATCCCTTGGCAGTTGGAATTCGATATAAGAGTAGGCCGTAGTGCCGCTGTCCGGGCACACTGTATGGCGTATGCCCGTCTTCATTAGCCCAGGTTAGGCGCAGAACAGTAGGACGTTAAACTCCATTGCATTTCATTTCATTTTTGCTTTATTTGGAGATTCCCTTATTGTGGTCATCTTCTGAAGCTAGTAATATCTCCTAGATTAAAGATGCGTTCATTACGTAAGAGATAAATCAGCCTATTGAAACACTACATGTACAGATAATAGAACATCAGTATATAATAAATGATATGAACTTTATCACTATAATCTGGGTATCATTTAATCTTGTGTATTTAACACTATAATTTCTTTCACATTCATTTAATATCATATCTCTGTTTAAAAATTTGTAAGAATTGTTTAAAATCACCAAAAGTCATCTAATTTGTACTTGTGTCCAGTTTAAAACTGACTGATTAATTTTAAAATGAGTGTCCAATTTACAAGTATTAAATTTTCTAACCACTGTTCAAAAATTAATCATTATACATCATTAATCAATTGGGTTGTTTATTTTTTAACAGTGATTGAGAAATTAAACACTTGTAAATTGGACACTCATTATCAAAATTGAATGATCAGCTTTAAACTGGACAGAAGTACAAATTCAACGATTTATGGTGATTTTAAACAGTTTTTACAAATTTTTAAACAAAGATTGGATATTCACATTCGTGAAAGAAATTAGTGCTAGATACACATGATTAAATGATACCTGGGTTACAGTGTTATTACAATCATGAAATAGCAATAAGTTGGAAGGAACCCAGCCTATTCTAAGTTTATATAACTGTAAAACTCATTGTTACAATGTATATACCTTCTGATAAGAGGGAAACTGGATATTAACATCTAATAAAGGAGATGGGTCTCAATACACCAGATTGCACTAGAGTCTTATATACCACATGTTATTAGCTGACCAGTATTAATTATTCATGTATTTAAGAGAGAGAGAAATGGGGTTTAACGTTCACTTGACACAAACTAGGTCATTTCGGGACTAACACAGGGTTCAATTTTATTTCAATAATTTGCTTGCACACAGGGGTCTTTAGCAGTACGAGGAAATCGGAAGGACCCGGAGAAAACCCACGAGATTGGAAAAGCGACCCTACTCCTTGTCACATAGAACAGGGGAATCGAAATCATGCCAGTTGACTCAATGACAGACCTTATGATACAACGCGCATGCACTAACCATTCGGCCATCCACCCCCCCTCCCCCCACATGTATTTAAGAAACGGCCATGATGCTGGCTTTATGTACATTGTCAATAACATGTGGGATTTATTATTAAGTCTGTAATGAATGTAGTGGTTAGTTGTTTATAGTAGTAAGTATTGGGTTTCAGTGCATCTAATAAATGTTACAACACTGTATTGTAACATACAGTCTAAGTTTGATAAAAGTTATAAATTATGAGGCACATTCTCACACTATTGCAGGTCTTGATTTTGGCTTCAAATGTTATATAAATCATTGGATGGCAGAGATTTAAATGGATCAAAACATCTGCTAGATTTTAACATCTAACAATAAAATGGATAACTGAGACTTGGCCTTGATTGTCAAGTACCACTGCTATAATAAACAATCTACGCTGCATCTTCAAACACCCACAACTTAGCTCAGAATAAAGTAATTTGAATGAAATTTTCAATATATTCATTTTTCATTATCTATTTATCTAAATCTTACGTAATGCATCATTAACAAGATTATGAAACAGTAACGTACCCGGAGTATGACATTGCGCACGAGTATCCTGCAGCATTTCACATCCTGGAGCATTTCTATCAATCTGGTCACAACAGTTATATTTTCCTTTTTTCTTTGTCCAAACACCTTTGTGATATTTATGTAGAAATTCAGCCTTATTTCTAATACTCTCTGAAATAAATGAAATATTTAGAGTTAAGACAGATCAACCATGTTTTCTGCAAAGCCTAGAACCGATTCCAGTCTACAGACATGGAATCTCATGCTTGTGAAAGAAGCTGTATCATAAAGATTTATTTTGCTTATAATCATAGCCTGCTTTCAGGGCGTTACGGTGGCACATGGTTTCAGGATGACTTACTAACCAGAAGGTTCAGGGTACGATCTCAGTGTTGGACAAGAAAGCTCCCAGAGATTGTCCTGTATGGTTTCCCCACATCAGTGGTGCAGAATGGAGGTGCTGGCAAAAAACAGCATCTAGTCGTACGTATGGGGACAAAAAATGAGGTCTTGTGTACACGTTCTCGTGTGCATGAAAAAGAATCAACAGAGTTATTATAATGGCTATAGGATTGGTGGGGCCTTACTATTGGTGGGAAGCAACAGAGTTATTATTATGACTATAGAATTGGTGGGGTCTTACTATCACTGGGAACAGAGTTTTTATAAACTATAGAATTAGTGGGGCCTTACTATAGCTGGGAAGCAATAGAGTTATTATAATGACTATAGAATTAGTGGGGTCTTACTATCGCTGGGAACAGAGTTATTATAAACTATAGAATTAGTGGGGTCTTACTATCGGTGGGAAGCAACAGAGTTATTATAATGACTATAGAATTAGTGGGGTCTTACTATCACTGGGAACAGAGTTATTATAAACTATAGAATTAGTGGGGCCTTACTATCGGTGGGAAGCAACAGAGTTATTATAATGACTATAGAATTAGTGGGGTCTTACTATCACTGGGAAGCAACAGAGTTGAGAATCACCACACTGTCCTAATCAATATTTGTAAGGAAATAATCAGGCCTTGAAAAAATGATTTTAGTTGAACCTGACATTTGGTCAGACACTACTGAACTGGCACCTGAAATTTTTTCTTCTGAACTTGTATAACACAGACAAGATGTCTGGCACCAGAGACATTGAACCGGTACCTGACACAGTCTGAATTTGTTCCTGAAACTGTCTCTGTTACAGATGTCTTATTATCAGGCATGGAGAGAGAGAGAGAGAGAGAGAGAGAGAGAGATGGGGTTTAACGTCCACTCGACACAAACTAGGTCATTTCGGGACTAACATATGGTTCAATTTTATTTCCATAATTCGCTTGCACATAGGGGTCTTTAGCAGTGGGAGGAAACTGGAAGACCCGGAGAAAACCCACGAGGCTGGACAGGCGACCCTACTCCTTATCACGTACAACCGGGGAATCGAAACCCCGCCAGTTGACTCAATGCCTATTACTTAATGTAATGGTACTTACCCTTTTTAATAGCTTCTATCCAGTCTTCTCTAGAAGTTTTATCTAATGCTACAACATACAGTGTGTATGTGTCACTATTCTCTTGATATACAATCTGAAATATGAAATGAAATGGGGTTTAACGTCCTACTGTTCTGCTCGTAACCTGGGCTAATGAAGACGGGCATATGCCATACAGTGTGCTATGATGGATATTTTGCCCGGACAGCTGCGCTACGGCCTACTCTTATATCGAATTCCAACTGTCAAGGGATCTTATACGTGCACGCCAATGTGTACACGGGACCTCGGTTTTTCGCCCCATCCGAACCACTAGACAGCTGTCCTTGTCAGGCCCTCCGTCCTGCATCACTGACAAGGGGAAAACACGCCGGAAAATCGGGATGAACTTTCTCGGCCAGTGCAGGGATCGAACACCCGACCTCCAGACTAGCGAGCCAACGTCTTACCCACTTAGCCACGTGATCCCCCCAATCTGAAATAAAAATTTTAAATTTGATTTAAATTCAGCTAGAACATAAAAATCTATAATCCATGCCGCATTATCTTAAACGTTGACAACGATTAAGCCTAAGGATCTACCAAGAGCAGGGGCCCAACAAAAACTGGGACCCAAGTAAACTTTTTTTTCTAAAAGTGCTAAATGTTAACATCCTGTGTGTCACTGAAATTAATTCATAGGGATTCTTTTTGATATGAGAGACTCCAAGGGTGTGTTAATCTATATAAAAAAAGGAATTATGGTTCAAATTTTATTTAATTTGGACGCAGTCAGGGATGGATAAGATGGATTTTCTTTGTTACTTCATTAATTATTTTATTTGTAATATTAGTGTTATAAATTGTACAAAGGGGGGGGGGGGGGGGTGAGGGGGGTCACAGGATGTTTAGGGGCCCAAAACCAGGCTGATTACTATAGCAACAGGCTGGTGCTGATTAATATAGCAACATATGTAGAACTGTTTACAATTGAATCTAAATTGTCTAATATTACAATCATTTCGACAATGCTTGTTACATGGACGAGCGAATCTTCCTATGGTATTTTCATTGAATAAGCAGATTGTTTTCCCTCTTGTAGATTGGATGGAGCTTAACTATGCAATAACTAGATAATTTCAATGTTATTGCACACATTTGCTGGTTTAGGCCAATTTTAGTAAAAATTACATAGAGAAGTGGGATGGGTTTTCTGTGCAATAACAACAAGCATGTTGAGCAGGTTTCAATGTTACAAGTCATTTATAGCACGCTTCATTCGTTAACAGCTTTAACACCTCGGCCTCGCAACCTCAATAGTTGAACCTGTTAACTCATGAAAGCCATGCTATAAACATTACATAGCCTCATAGCCTATTACCAGGAAGTATTCCTGGTCAATTTTGATATCATAAAACAGTGCTCAAATTCCAGTAAAACAGTGAGGTAGACAAACACTTTCTTCATCCAAAAATAAATAGATGTCACTCATTAATTACTAGCATATTTATCTTTTTATACAGCATCAACGAATCAAATGGCTTATGTCTGCTCAACCTGAGCAGAAAAGTCTCATAAGACAGAGGAACCCATATTAATAGTCCCCTGCTTTCTTTGACGAGGGACAACAAACAATTATAAGATATACTATTTTGGTTGAAAACTGTCTTAATTATATCTGTGCTATGTGGGAAATTTTGCCCAGACAGTAAAGTTTCTTTGTACTCAGCTTTGATTTCTGACTGCCAAGGTTCATGTGTACATGGGACCTTTGTTTTCGTCACATTTGAATGACTCATCGCCTTTCTCCTCGTGACAAGTGGAGAACATGTTCGAAAATTCTGAGGACTTTTCTTGGCCAGCACTGATATTGAACCCAAAACCCCCTGATTGGTGAGCCAGCATTACACTAACAGAGCCACCAGTGGCTTCTGAAATTCCTCGCAGGTAATATTGATTTAAAATATTGTATTGTGTAATAGTACGTACAAGCTATGTAAATCTGACTTCCCATTATATTTCTCAATTGAACACCGGGTGCCCAAATATTCCCCGAATAGGAAGTGAAATGGGGGGGGGGGGGGGTAACGTCCTACTGTTCTGCTCCGGACAGCAGTGATACAGCCTATCCTTATATCCAGTTCTAACTGCCAAGGGATCTTTTATTTGCATGCCAATGTGTACATAGGTCCTCAGTTTTCCATCCCATCCAAATGGCTATATGTTGTCCCTTGCTAGATCTTCTGTCCTGCACCACTGACATGGGGGTACCAATCCGGAAAATCCCAATGACCTCTCATCGCCAAGCAGGGATCAAATACAGGACCTCCAGGTTTGCGGGCCAAAGTTTTACTCACTGAGCCACTGTGGCTCCTCCCCTAATAGAAACTATATAAATAGTAACTAAATATATATAAAGTACAATATACCTGGAAGACATTATCTTTATTATCCAACATACCATCTTCTACAGCTTCAACTACTTTTATATTCTTTAACTCTATCTGTCCTTTTGGCTTTCCTTTTTTCTGAAATAATAATCAAATATTGTTAATATTGTAAAACTTATTATTAAAAAAATCCTCCATAAATTGACAACAATAATAATAATATGTCCAATTAAATTAAAGTCCAGTTACGTCTCGATTCATTTTAAATAGTCATACGAATGGGACAAAAAACTGATGACATGTAAACGAACCCTTGGCAGTTGGAATTCTATGAAGAGTATGCAGAAATACTGCTGTTCGAGCCAAATTTCTCTCATAGATCACGGCAAGGCGAATGATTATCTTCATTAGTTGGGTTGGATGTTAGGTCATATTTCATGTCATTTGTATTCAGTTACACGTACCTGTACACTGATGAAGTAACAGTAAACTAGGATGTTAAAATCTATTTCATGTCACTTGTAATCAGTTACACTGATGAAGTCACAATAAACTAGGATGTTAAAACTATATTTCATATGATTTGTAAACATTTACCATGATGAGGTAACAGTCAGTGTTTTAATTTGTAATTAAAGGTAAACTGAGTTAGTCAGGTTCAGAAGATCATTTCAGAAATTAATCTCATACTGGACAATGAATAAAATATTAAACAGCTGGACATTTCCTTTTAAAGGGACAATAACACTCTTGCTGGCGTGACAGCTCCAGAAAATAAATAAAAGCCTTATTCTAAGTACTATATGTTTAAGTGTCCTACCTGTTGTGTAAATTATTCATTAAATCCTATTTTACTTGTCCAGAGGGTTCGAAAATATTTTTAAATCAAAGTCACATTTGAAAAGGTTTACGTCAGGCTTTTCAAATCATTTAGTTGAATTTTTCCAATTTTTTAAATTAGGTGTGTTAAGATGAAATTTGTATCACCAATTAATTGGAATATTGTAAAATAGTACAATTTGTTGACCAGAATAAAAATTGGGACATATTATTCAGTTACAACAAGAGTGGTATTGAGCCTTTAAAGCAAGTGCTCAAAACACTACATACGTTAGATTCTGCCAAATAAGGCAAATAAGGCACCTGTCAGACATTGTCAGGCACCAATACAGGTTTTGTCAGACACAATCCCTCTCGTGCCTGTCATTTTATCCACTGATAATTTGTCTTTTTTCTGTTTTTATTGATATTTTTAATACATGTTGGATACAGTGTTCAACATGTCCAGTACTAGTTCAGTAATTCATGACATTTTGTCAGGTATAAATAGAAACTAGGGGTCACTGTGGATAAGTGGGTAAGACACTGGATCGCTAGTCTGGAGGTCGGGTGTTCGTTCCGTGCATTGGCCAAGAAAGTTCCCCCTTGTCAGTGATGCAGGACGGATGGGCTGACAAGGACAGCTGTCTACTCATTCGGACGGAACAAAAAAAAGAGGTCCCGTGTACACATTGACTTGCACGTAAAAGATCCCTTGAAAGTTGGAATTTGATATAAGAGTAGGCCATAGTGCCACTGTCTGGGCAAAATTTCCCTCATAGCACACTGTATGGCGTATGTCCGTCTTCATTAGCCCAGTAGAGAGCAGAACAGTAGGACGTTAAACTCCATTTCATTTCATTTGACAACTAAAACAGTTATTGCCAGTGCTTCAATGATTGTAGCTGACTGAAATTATAACATGGATAAAGACCACTTTACATATACATGTACTTACATCAGGTTTACCATCATAATATGAAAGATGGGTGTCAGTAAGAACAAATAATCTATTTCTATAATTCTCTCCTGTCAAGAGCACAGATTTGTTGATGGAACGTTTCAATAAATATGCTATTTTTAATTCATTGTCACCATTTCTTGCCATTTCTTATAGTTCATATCAGTTATCTCCCTTTCTTGCAGTAAAGTTCACTTTTCAGTCCATTAGAAATCTGGAAATGAAAGAGAAAAGGGGTATGACTTAAAACTTAGTTTATTTCAATAAAGTGGGTGGCAAGAGCAAGCAAGGTCCCTGAAGGAAACCTACATTTGTGTTCAATTCAGCAGGCAACCATGTGGAGGAAACCTACATGTGCACAGATTAGATTCAGTAGGCAACCATATTCCTGAAAGAAACCTACATGTACATGTATTTTACAATGTTTTAAGAAAGATTTGAAGCAAAATATTGATAGATTAATTATTTTGAATATCTTTTAGTCCTAATATATCATCAAATCACCCAGTTTGTACAGAGGAAGGTATATTTAAACAATAGTCATTAATCAGGGAGTGTTTAACTAGCTGTAAAAGATGACACTAGTATATATACCCACCACTGTTGAATACATAAACCAATAGTGGTGTATATATCACATAATTATAGTGATAGGCTTAACAATTTATTAATATACATGTTACATCTACATGTATTTCAAGTCCTCAGATTGATTATTTAGCCTATAATTAAGAAAACAAAATCAAAATACCAACGCTAGATAATGTCCCAGCTGGGATTCAATCGGATTTAAAAAAAGGCCTATCAATTTTTTAAGGTCATCAAAACGATAGCAGTATTACTGCGTAGCGAGCACCATGGATCAATGAAATTTCAATTCCACATATCTTTATAAATTCTTTGTGACTCTATTCCGTTAAAATGGTGCGTCAGGACTTTAATGAATACCAACTGATTGTCACCGGCCAGGTGTATCATTCATCACATTCACAAATAGGACTTGACTAATTATGTTCATCATAAACTTTATTCATCTCCTTAAAACGTATAAGTCATTACATAGCAGCACATTATATCTACATATAGGTCTGTAGGAGTTTCATATGGCTAACCGCCTCACAACTTCATTAAATTACTTATCGGCTGACCGCCGAGCTAACCGCTCTACACCATGTCTCATCTCGCATCGATTCAACAGCACGCGACAAACTCATCGCCACACAGTTAAAGGGAGGCAACTACAATTCCTTAAAGACTTCCTCATAGATCTCTAATTAATTAAAGGGACCCAAATCCTGACATTCTCCCACACTTAGCTTGAATGACATCCTCGTCATTATAATGTTATTATGAAGATGTACAAACATATTTAAATTAAACTTATTTTAAAACAATGAATAATGCTTCAACATCTAATATTAACATTTCAAGTAATGATAGAAACTTATGGTTATTATTATTATGACTCCTTTGGAATTTAGCCTATGAGAGAGAGAGAAATGGAGTTGAACGTCCACTCGACACAAAATAGGTCCTTTCGGGACTAACATGTTGTTCAATTTTATTTCCATAATTCGTTTGCGCGTAGGAGTCTTTAGCAGTGGGAGGAAACCGGAGGACCCGGTGAAAACCCACGAGGTTGGACAGACAACCCTACTCCTTGTCATGTACAACCGAGGAATCGAAACCACGCCAGTTCACTCAATGATAGACTTTATGATACAGCGCGCACCTGCTAACCATTCAGCCATCCAACCCCCACCATTTAACCTATGAAGAGAAACAAGCAATTATATGTTTACCAAATAAGACAAAATAAGAAAATAAGACAAAATTCTATAACTATTTCTTATAGTTCTATATATTTACTATAAACTACGGTACTTCAAGTTTTAGATTATCTCAGCTTTCATAACAACAGCCATAACATCAAAATGTTTTCTAACCTACATGTACATGTATATTACAAACAGTTCAATTAGACTTTAGAGTTGTAAGAATTAACTATTATATTGTCCACATTTTGCTGCATCACCATATAATTAAAAACCATCATAATGTTTTGTAAAACGCTGTCTTTTAGATTATCTTAACACTGATTGTTTAACATATTCTTGAGGGTTAAAAAGTGTGTTTGGTAACAAATTATCATTACTGTCATTATCACACTGAGGAAATTTTAGTGGTATCTGTGTACATATTGGCGTGCACGTAAAAGATCCCTTGGCAGTTGGAATTTGATATAAGAGTAGGCCATAGCACCACTGCCCGGGCAAAATTTCACTCATAGCACATTGTATGGCGTATGCCCTTCTTCATTAGCCCAGTTTAGGAGCAGAACAGTAGGACGTTAAACCTCATTTCATTCTGTATACCGACACTTCGCACTATTATTAATAATTTTATCTGGGAATAAAGTTGGATTACACACTTTCTTCAATTTATTATGATGAATCATTACTTTTCTACCATCATTTCTCTCTACTTTATACAACACAGGGTTATCTTTGAATGTCTCAACTACACGACCACTGTGGTCCCACGTTTGATTAATACAGTCCTTAATTGTCGCCAACTTCTAAAGATTGAAATTGTACATGTTTATCTCTTTCTAATTTATAAATTACTATGCGCAAATTGAACTGCTTTTGCCAACTTCATTTCCAAATTCCTAGCATATTCATTTATACTCAAAGTTTTATTGTTATCATTCATTGTAGGAAACATAATATCAGCAGGAAGTTGTGTTTCACGACCACGATGTAGGAAGTTAGGAGTAAATCCTGTTACACTATGTACTGTTGAGTTATGCGCCAAAGAAAGAAAAGGCAACATACCAACCCAACGATAATTATTATCTGTGTACACTTTTAGCATACTTTTCAAAGTATTGTTCCACCATTGACAAAGCTTCTTGTCTATGGGCTGAAAATTGTCTCGAACCAAAAGCTATAGGTTTATCTTGACCATCAATTTAGTGATAAAACAGCGTCAATCACAAATCAACATGCATCGGTTGTCAACAGAAATGGCTTATCAAAGTTTGTATGAATTAGAATTGGGGGACTTATTAACAATTCCTTCAATTTTTGAAAAAGCATTTTGTCTTTCATCTGTCCAGTCTAGGCAATGACTGAATTGGCCTGGTATCAGGTTTTAATTGTAACTTGTGTGGTACGATGTCACATTCTCCCAAATCCCATTTATTTCTGGAGAAAACTTCATGATAATCAGCACATACATTTTCTAATTTCTTCTTACTGTCAGGAGAAATGTCAATGCTTTCAAAGTCTACAATTTTGTCATTTTTCACATCTTCAGGGCATTTAACAGTTAAATGATTTGAATTAAATTGAACTTCACTTGTACTTTGAACAATTCTGTTCAATTGGCTCATTGATTTCGAGTCTAATTCAGCAAGTTCATGGAAAAGTGTTTCTACTTCTTCAACTTCACCAAAACAGCTTCCATGCTCGACTTGAATTAGCTTGCAGGTTTTATTTACAACAAGAATGTTTACTAAGTCTCTTTCAGGTTTTACGAAACAATTAGTTACAACAAGTCCTTCTATCTGCAAATTACCATTCTGATTAATACTAAATTGTCTATTATCTAGGTTAGGCACATCTTCAATATCCCACTTTACTTTAGCTAGTACTACACGTTCTGAATAAGGGGGAATAACTGTGATTTTAACAAGTATTGTTTTATTTGAAAGTATTTGCTTTACATCGGTCAGGGGATTTCCATTTGAAGAAACTAACATCAAGTCTTGACCTTCAATAGTGAATACATTTCTCAGTAGATCTACCCATATCTTCTCATGAAATCGGTTCCTAAAATAAGATCACAATTCAACTTTTCAGTAACCAAAATTGTATGAGAATAGTTTTTATCATTCAGGGGCAAAGTGATTGCTGCAACGAATGATCCTGCAACTGGTAAAGTTTGTTCAGATGCTACAGAAACTTTAGTATTAATATGTTGCTATCTCTGGTAAATGTTTATTCAGCCACTTCAATAATGAAATAGAAATATCACTTCCGGTGTCTGTAAGCGCTCTGACATCAATTCCATTTAACTTAGTATTAATAAATACACCTTTATCTGTATTGGTACTCTGATTAGGGTTTTCTGGATGTCTCATTTCTGGTTGATTCAGGTAGGAATACTTGTAACTTGAACTATATTCAGAATCTGAATGTCTCTTCATGGTAGGGCACTCATTCTTATAATGTCTATAACCATAACAACCATAACATTGTAACTGTGGTTTTCCATTTGACCGTTTTATTTCAAAATCATTTGAATTGACGTAACTTGACTGGGAATTAAGAATTGAGTAACAGCCACCATCCGTATTACAATTCTGACTATAATTAGTTCGACGTCTTTCATAAGTGTTATGCCTTGGTTTGCCAATTGCCATAAGAATTTCTTGTTTAGTTTGTGGCGAGTATTTTCGTAAATGAAAGTTGTGTGGTTGAAAGGGCACCATAATATCAAATTTACATTCTAGATTTCTATTAGCAAATATTATGATCGCTTTATGTCAAATAGTACATTTACTCTCTATTTTAATAATTATTGGTGCTTTTGAGCATATACATGTAATGCATTGATCAATGTTCTAATTTGTCTGGCCAATAATCCAATCACAGCACTCTGTGCAAGCATTTATTATGATTGCTTTAATGGCAAATAGTAAACTTTATCTCTTTTAATAATTATTGGTGCTATGGCACATATAAGGCATTGATATTCTTAGTATATAATACAGAGCGAAGCGCGGTGCTTGAGCAAAGCTCTTTTTCAGTATCACAGGAGCATAACTGAAACTGTCACTCAAAGACTGTTGGCTTTAAAAAAATTCAGACCAGAACCAAGCAAAACTGGCGATGCGCATGTCAACTTACCAGATCTCGCCCAAGTCTCGCGTCTCATAGAACTATTTCTATGACGCGTCTAATCAATGACGATTGACGTTAATGAAAATAATTGTCAAGCTTTTTTGGTCTTTTTTTTTAAAACAAAATTAATCATACAATCTAAATTAAAATCAAATGGAAAAGCAAAATTATTTAACATTATTTGTATCACTTGAGAAGCTTAATTAAGAAGGTTTTATATTTGACAGCAATCACATCAGCTTCGCTCTACTCAGGCAATACCTATTACATATTATGTATGACTATAAATAACGCAATCGTAGCACCTGACAAGGTAGGTTTCTATAGGGAAGCATTTATTATGATCAATTTATGGCAAATAGTACACTTTCTCTATTTTAATAATCATTGGTGCTATAAAGCATATAATACATCGGTGTTCTATGAATCCAACATGTATGACTAATAACGTGATCACAGCACACTGACTGAGATCATGAAATCAATAATAGTAGTCTCAAGTCTGTATATCTTTGGATCTGCAACATATATTTCTGAAGAGAAGATTGTAAAGTTTTATAATCCAACGAAAAACCACTGACTATATACATATATTTTAATAAAAACAAACTACTTGTAATGAAAGACTTGATTTCCTGTGACAAAAAAAATATCAGATTAATCAGAATGTCAAATGAAAAACAAAACAAAAAAAACAATCATTCAATGGAATCAATTGGACACCTAACACCCATGACAGCCCTCTTCATCAATGGATTAGGATGAAAACCATGAATAAAAGTAAAAGATTAATTTCTTTTCGTCATGAATTACAAAATAAAATACTCAATTACCAGGAAGCGTAATGTATACCAACCTATTTCATTTCCTACATAAGTTATTAACTGGAACTCTCGTGTGGAGAAGAAAGAAATGTCAAGCTGTTCAATCAAATTTATACAACGACATTACAACGAAACGAAATATAACATGTCTAGATTGAAATCGAATAAAGTGCTATAAAATAGTATCTGTCTATTACAGTAGGTTTTTGTCTATATTTTCATCTAAAAATAATACAAGAAATTAATGTCAAATTGATGATAAAAAAATCCATAAATATCTTACCCTTTCCCGGTTATTTCTTATGCCTAAATTTTATTGAACGGCAATTTTGAGGAAAAAGAAAAACAAAGTAGTAAATTTATTTGCTCGAAAAATTACAGACAAACTGCATTCTTATCTTCTACTGCTTTCGATAAGAAATTACAATGACAGAAAACCAAGGAGTCAGTGCTTTTCCTCTCCCACCCATGCAGTATGCAAACATGTATTCAGATGAAAACGTAAAAAGAGGTCGTGCCCCACCACCACCACCACCTATTACAGTAAGTACAGTCAGTATTGCGGGTGGCAGTTAACTCGTCCACAAACAAACTTGTCCACAGTGAAGTCGCCCACAACTAGTGTCCGAAACATACATTTTCCAAGCAAGGGCTGACACAGGATCATGTGGGTCCTTCAGGTGACACGCTAGTGTGTTTAATGTTACAATAACAATTGATACAGTCAAAGACTCCTTATGCAAGTTCAAATAGGTTCAAACGCACAATTGTCAACACATATCATTACAGTTTGTATTGGAATAAGTAATTCTATGACAAATAGTGAACACTGGACCACTAAAATAGTTACTGAACAGTTTTTCTTTGTGGTTATGCGTTCTACATATTGCATAGCGATGTTTCTTGTAATGACGTATTACGCAAGGCCGCCATGACACCAGCCAGTTGAAATTTCGCGTAGCAGTTGGGTTTCATCAAATCATATAATTATGCGGTAAGGTTTCACCTTTATTTCAATGGGAATTGATTTATTATATGTTAAGGTATGTGCAGTACTGTTTTGGGTCAGTTTATGTGTAAATTAAGAGAGCTATAGATCAGTAACTTTTTTGTAGTGATTTCACTAAAAAATTTGCGCAAAGGAACTCTGTAGGATGAGCCACTACTGTGGCTGGAGTAAGGCGAAAGACATCAGTAGTGGAACCATTTCTAGTGACACGCAAGCCCAATCATTTGATTCATATGCAAACAAAGTGTACAATTAAAGATACTTTACTTTACTTATTTAGGATCTGAAGACAGGGCATTTCTATTAATTCAAAAAAAGAAAAAGACATATTTGGGTTGTTTAATTTTTTTTTATTATGGCCTCACCCAGAGTCAGAAGATGCCAGGCAGGACAAAATCATTTATAGCCTGACTCATCAGTAGTAGTACCGGTACTACTAGTGGTGGGGTTGTCTTTTGCTTGCACAAACTCAGGTCGTCTACTTTGATTTGGTTTAATAATTCCTCTGGGATCACGGTGGCTAAGAACAGTAGGACGTTAAATCCCATTTCATTTAATAATACCAGACAGGTGGAACGTAATACTGTATACATGTACGTGCTAGGTCACTCAGGCAATCACTATAATCCTAAGTACCGGTACTTGCGGTAGTGCCAACTTGGAAAATACATGTACGTTATATATAGTACTGGTGTTTTAAAGGCTCAATACCACTCTTGTTGTAACTGAATAATATGTCCCAATCTTTATTCTGGTCAACAAATTGTACTATTTTAGAATATTCCAATTAATTGATGATACAAATTTCATCTTAACACACCTTATTTAAAAATTTTGAAAAATTCAACATAATGGTTTGAAACGTCTAATGTAAACCTTTTCAAATGAAACTTCGATTTAAAAATATTTTCAAACCCTCTGGACAAGTAAAATAGGATGTAATGGATAATTTACACAACAGGTAGGACACTTAAACATTTGGTACTTAGATAGAGATATCATTTATTTTCTGGGGCTTTCAAGCGAGCAAGAGTGTTATTGTCCCTTTAAAATAATCTAAGAAAACCCAAAAAAACTTGACTATGTACGCTCACGTAATAATAATAATTATAGTGTCCATGCAAAGTGCAGAACAATCAGAGTAACCTTCAAACAGTTACAAAATAACCTTGGTGTCTGGTGATGATGGATTGGCGTTGGCATAAACTCGCTTGGCCAGCCCTAGATTGTTAGCAGGATTGCCTATGTCCAGCAACAAATCAGAGGCTGGTTACGTGAGTATATGTTTGGCAAAACAACAGCTTCCTTCATGTTGATGACAAGTACATGTAAACAATAACTGTCAACACTCGTACATGTATAACTACCATTTCTAGAATTGTCGTATGTTGACACTAACTACAGTATGTGAGATAACAAGGCGAAGGCCAGGCGGACCAGAGTGAAATAGGTGACTTCGGGCCATCGGACCGACGTTTGTGTCGAACACCGTCCACAACCATGGTTGTCGTCCACACGGTATTGGTTATGTCGTCCACAACTAATACATGTACTTGACTCGTACACACTTTAATTGTATGGAATAAATAAGTTTTACTCATTGATTGTTTATAATTCTTTTTATTTACCCAATAATCGACTAGCTTGATTCAAAGGTTGACCGATCAACATGTATGAGGATACAACATTCATTTTTGTTTTAACATACATTTGTTCATCTTCCTTGGCTGATAAAGATATCAATCTACATTTAGCTAGTAATTTATAGATTAACAGACAAGTAGATTTATGATTAAGGAATATGACAGATTTCATGAATTAACTTGCTCCTTATGTGTTACTTATTGTGTGACAACTGTATTATACTGTATAGGCCTACTTTAAATCTTCAATGAAAATTATAATATCAATCTCCAAAAACATTTCAGATCTACCAATATCAGAACAGCTAAAATTTTAATTATGTGTTTCGGACCCTCAGTCGAATGACATATTGTTTTCGTAAGAGGTTTTGGGGTTTTTTTTGTGGATTTTAGTCAGAGTTTGCAGCCAAAACAGGGCATGGTGCAAACATTCTGCCAACATCGATATTATTGGCCTCTGTGGAACGATTTATTAAAATTAAATATAAATTGGATCATTTTTGACAATAAAAAATCTCAGATTGCCCATATCTCGTTTGTTTCTGAACGGATCTTCATCAGATTTTCATTTTTCAATTCTTTCGATGAATCCCATTGTGCCCTTGACTGACGTTTTTTTCAAAATTATTTTGGCATCAAGGATTTGCGATAGTTTTCGCAAGTAGCCTTGATTGTTATTGCTACCATTGTTAAGATAATAACAAAGTCGTGATTATCAATTTTCAAATTAAATCATTAATTGCCTTTCCATTCTAATCTACTTAAAATCGGAGCCATCCGATAGCATTGAGAGTTGATTATGGTCTTGTCATGTTAATTAATGTTTAATTACTAAGTTATAGGCAGATTTAGCTCTTGCATAATGCCTGATTAAGAACAGCATACTGTGAACGATGTAGTACTTTTGACCTTGATAAGCCAGTCAATCCAGCCTTTCTAAAGATTCTGTGTTATTTTCTGCATAACAGGTTTTGATTGGTAGGTTGATCTTGAGTTGACCAATCACAAACTGTATATTACTAAACATAGCTTCTAAAGCAATGTCTTTAGGCAAAAAAAATGAGAATAATGCCAGCAAAAAATAAAACTGAAATGAATTTTAACGACTGGTATCTTAACATAAATGACTCATTAAAAACTCTCTTCTATATATTTCAGGATACTTACACCATGTTTGGTGCCCAGTTTACAGCAGATGATGTCATCATTCGTCCTCTAGAAGCTTCAAATTGTCGAAGACTTTATCCAAATCATTACGATCCCAAGCGTGAGCTAAAGAAACTAAATCATTCCATTCTCATCAATTTCCTGGATTTACTCGAAGTTCTCATTCAATCACCTGAATCCCATAAAAGACAAGAAAAAATTGAAGACTTGCAGATACTTTTTATAAACCTGCATCATCTGATTAATGAGTTTAGACCTCATCAAGCCAGAGAAACCTTGCGCGTGATGATGGAAATACAAAAGAAAAAAAGACTTGAAATTGCTGATCGTTTTCAAAAGCATTTAGAAAAAGTGAAAGAACTTATTGAAGGATCAGTGAACACAATTCCCGAAGACATGGATTCTAAAGTTTTAGTAAAAAGTGAACTGTTGCAAAATAAAATAGCGAAACCAGATGTTCCTGTTGGATCAGAATCATGTGATAGACTGGATGAGATGATGTGTGACATAGTTGATGAAATGACTTGATTGAATGATGGTGATATACATGTACAGATACTGTAGTATAATACATGTATGTGATATGTTGTATCCTATTATCCATTGAACTATGTTCTCTCACATTTGGGTAGGGTAGATTTGTAGATCTTATTCCTTGAAAATTTGAACAGACATATTGTTTTGATCACATCAACATAAGGAGTATATACAAATGAGGGCTGAAAAGTGTTATTTACTGGCCTGTCGAATCGAAGGCTGTCAGCATAGCAAAGCCAAAATGGCATCACAGGGGCTGATTCCTGGGACAATTTTTACACTAATAAACCATTGTACCATTAAGAGTACCATTGATTGTGCATGGTCTTAAATTCTAGGTTTGATATTTTATTCTGGCTGGTTGTACAAGAACTCAATTGCTACATGCATACATGTATAGTTTGGCCAATAAAAATAAAATATATTGAAAATATCCTTGTTTAATGTTTTATAGGTTTCTGCTCTAAACATTAACTAGCCTTGGATCTACCAGGGGGGCGAATGCTCGATTTCAACATTATTTACTTTAAAGTTAGGAACAGATTGATAGTACATAAATATCAGTATAAAATTAATTAACATTTCTGAATATTATTTTAATATCTAATAAACATTCAAACGATCATAGTCATTCATGGAGTGTAAATCATAAGAAGTACATGTACACGTAGAACTTGATAATCCAGTCACACATGTACATGTATTTACACATGAACAGCTAGTCACATATATATTATATATATTTACATACATGGGAGCCACGTCGGCTAAGTGGGTAAGATGCTGTCGCATGTTCGATCCCTGCATTGGCCGAGAAAGTTCATCCAGATATTACGACCAGGTTTCCCCTTGTCAGTGGTGCAGGGGGGAGGGCTTGACAAGGACAGCTGTCTGGTCATTCGGATGGGACGAAAAACCGAGGCCCCAGGGTATACATTGGCATGCTTGTAAAAGATCCCTTGGCAGTTGGAATTCGATATAAGAGTAGGTCATAGTGTCGCTCCCGGGCAAAATTACCCTCATAGCACACTGTATGGCGTACATGGTATGCCCGTCTTCATTAGCCCAGTCGGAGCAGAACAGTAGGCCGTTAAACCCCATTTCATTTCATTTACATAGGGGATCAACTAACTACATGTATATTTACATTTGCGCATAATGTGTTGTTGTGCGTATTTCTTGCTGTTTTCTATAATGCTCAGCATCCTCTGTTTATTGCAGGCATTTCGCTTCGCTTGAGTCTGAGAACGCGTGAAGAAAGTGACCTTCACCCATCATGTCAAGGCATGGTTATGCTTCTTAGTTCCTGCCTACAATAGTTAGCATTTCTGCTCTGATAGCTCCTCCCCTTTTGGTATTTTGAAGGGTGAAATATTGAGTCGTTTCTAGAAATTGACATGATTTGGCGGGAAAATATATAGCAATTTTGGAACTTTTGGTCTTTGCCATTTGAAATTCTGTTGGGAGAGTAACAATGGATATTTTAAAGGTAATGTAGTATGTGATTGCTATTCTAAGGCTATAATAATATCTATTTATGGCACCACTTGTGTATAAGAATGTGCATGCTACTGGTGGACTATCCAATATAAATAATAAGAAAGAAACATATACAATAAATGGAATATATATTTTTATCAATATAAGGTACATATATCTATGGGGTATGGAATATATATTTTTATCAAGGTATAGGTATATATATCTATGGTGTATGGTTTATAATAAATATGGATGGAAATGATAAATTCTTATCACAGATATTTCTTTCAGACATAAAGTCTAATACATATTACCCTGTTAAACTATTTAATGTATTTATAGTATATAAGCTTTATCAAATTGAAAATAATACACACATCTACATAACCAATTGTCATTCTCATTTCCAATAGTATGATTGTTAAAATTGAGCTTTTTGGACTAAAGTGTCAATACCTGATATCTAAAATATACTATGCTAATATGTATAATTACCCAATTGAAATAAATTAAAAAATTTATTTACAAAGTGCACCAAAATATATATTTTTACTTAGCAAGTTGTTGTTCTCTATTGCACTTTTGACAAAAAGTATCATTAAACCTCCTCACAATCATTCAGACAAGCTGTGTTTTTCATGGCTAGTCAATATGGTCCCAACATACTGTGTTTATGATGGCTAGGCACTGTCTCTATTTCAACATTTAGAGAGAATTGGGGTTTACTGTCCACTCTAGTATAAATGTGGGATCGAAACCATGTGTTAGAACATTCAACCATCTGTATTGGTCTCAATTGAGTTATAAATAGACACAGGTACAATTTACAAGGCAGACTATGCTTACTTTTATTAGAACACCTGATACCATTACAGATTCTTTTGTTACACTCTTGTAATTATAAATACTACGATAAATAATGGTATAATTGTAAAAATAGAAATTAAAATAAATAAAAATATGGAAAAAATACATAAACCAGCGGCTGCCAGGCAGGATACGCCCACATTTTCGAGAGATGGATAGAGAACAAGCTAAAAAGAAAGTGATTTTTTCTACAATCAAGGGCCATAATTCTGGAAATTACAATTCGATATGCGCAAATATCGAAAGGAACCAAGATCTTTTGTTATAAACTTACATTTCAAGTTTCAACAAGTCTCAAATTTGGGCCGATTTACACGAAATTCGAACTCAGCCATCCTTAGGGTGTAACAGTGATATAATAATACGGCTTTTTGAATCGGATAAAAATTATGACCTCTATAGGGTCCACAAGCTAACAACACTATTTTTCGTACAATCAGGGGCCATAATTCAGGAAGTTACGGTCCGATATGCGCGAACATCAAAATGAACCGAGATCTTTGGTTTATAAACTTACATTTCAACTTTTAACAAAATCATATAAACATTCTGACCTCTATAGGGTCCACAACCTTGATATACTATATTTTTACGCTATTTGAGAACGAACGGTGGCCATTTTGTGTGTAAATTTTGATCCGATTTTCACGAAATTCGAACTCAGTCGTCCTTAGGGTGTAACGGTGATATAATAATACGTTTTTTTAAATCAGATAAAAATTATGACCTCTATATGGTCCACAAGCTAAAAACGCGATTTATCGTACAATCAGGGGCCATAATTCAGGAAGTTACGGTCCGATAAGCGCGAATATCGAAAGGAACCGAGATCTTTAGGTTATAAACCTACATTTCAAGTTTCAACAAAATCGGATAAAAATTGTGACCTCTATAGGGTCCACAAGCTGAAAACGTGATTTTTTGTACAAACAGGGGCCATAATCCATGAAGTTTCGATCCGATACATGCCAATAACGAAAGTAGCCGAGATCTTTTGGCGATAAACCTATATTTCTAGTGATGACAGGCCACCCTTTTGAAAGATCACATGTTATTTTAGCTTATGCTAATTGATCAAACATAAAAAAATTGCTCCAATAGAAATTGCTCATACACAGCAATTGATATACATCATCAGAGCAACAAGCAGTTGATAGCTTGTTTGATATTTGACAACTTCAAATTTTTGGGCAAGTAGACAATGCTTACAAATTGTCTAAGAACATTGTTTGTTTAATGTTTAACTGTTTCAGAAACATGATTTGACAAGCACTATTATTTTTTTTTAATCTTTTGTTTTAGTAATAACCATTCATTATTGTTTTTTAAATGGAACAAAAAAATATGTAACAAAATCAGGCAGTAGAGGTATGAGATGTACTATATATGAAAACTAGACAAATCCTAGTAAATTAAATTATTCAAAAATTCTGAAATTGAAAACATATATAACATAAAATATAAACAGTATCACAGTCAGAAAAAATGATGGGAAAAAAATAAAAATACATAAAATATAATGTCATATTAGCACACTTAAATAGAGGGACGGAGAAATTCAAGTTCAATTGTACAAATATGAACTTGATATAAAATAAAGTTATATTCAAAGCTGCTGATTATCATATGAATGATTTTGAATCCTTTGCAAACGACACAATTGTAAAAGTTGAATTTCTATAAAAGACAATTTAGCAACATTCGGCATTCTCATCAGATGAAAAAGCAGTGCCACTTATAAGTGTTGCGTGAAATTTTTGAACGGCTTCATTTTAAACTTACTGAATCCCAGCTAGGAGATTATCTACTGTTGAAACTTACTGAATCACACGTGGGAGATTATCTACTGTTGATATTTACTGAATCACAGCTTGGAGATTATCAATCTGGTTAAAACACAGATCCTATTTCGTTTTGTTTTTATAGTTCAAAATTTCGTTTTACTTGTCTTTACTACACTTGGATCTGGAAGAGTTGTTATTTAACTCGTGTTCTGAATGGTGTCAGGGATAAGCCAATGAAACGGTCTGTTACGGCCAGCTTTAGGCGTGTTTTTCACAGAACTGTGTGTAATCCACTAGTAACATCAATGCTGATTGGTTAATCAAATGTCTGACGTCATAGGGTCATAAGTCGGTCTTTTGACCCCTGACGTGACCTATCGCTATAACTTGTCAGATCTTCATGTAGTGTAGGCCATCAAAAGTATAAAAAAACGAAACGAAATATAGATCGGTATTTTAATCAGATTGGGAGATTATCTACTGTTGATATTTTTTAAAGTTTTCTTAATTAAATAATAATCAATGTGAGTTTATTTTAGTGTTGATTAAAATGTGAAAGTTTGATATTATTCAAAAAATGTGTAAATACTAATCAGCCGCTTTATTAAATACCTAGTTTGTACAGTAATTATCTATTGTACTGTGCAAGTTTTACTACTTTGTTCTGTTGCAGTTGCACCATTTTTACCACTATTTTTGTCAGTAGCACCGGTAGTTTCGTCCGCAGCATTAGCAATCTCAACAACATCAGCTGCTGCCTTGAAACTTGTTTTGGATTTTGCTCTTTTAACAGGCTCTTTGTCTTTTGAACTTTCAGCTGTGGAATCTTTTGTTTTAACAGGTTCTTTCTCCTTTGATGCTTTTTTGTCAGCATTTTTTTCTTCTTTTGGCTCTGACTTTGGTGCAGATTTGTTTTCTGATTCTGTCACTGAATATAATAATAAAAAAACACAAATAGTTATTTAAAACCTATACTTGAAATAAACTGTTACAGACATTGTTTGGGACAATCCGTCTGGTGTCTTTTTATTTACCTGGCACAGATCTGTATTTTTCCCAGTGTTTTTTAACGATATTTTTCATCCATGTCCAGAACATAATTCGAAATGTCAGTTACCAGTTAATTAGTACATGAAATTGTGTCAGAACACTTAAAATCATTATATTCAAGCCTGTTTAAAAGATAGAGAGAAATGGGATTTTAACATCCACTCGATACAGACTAGGTCATTTTAAGACTAGCATTTGATTAAATTTTATTTCAATAATTCGCTTGCGATTAGGGGTCTTTAGCAGTGAG